ACTTTTTACACTATATTATAATTTTAGTTTTTGATATTTGGGACCATTATTATGGAAACTAAAATGTAATAAGTGTATTATATATATGTAATATGAACAATGTGCTTTACATGTTATTTATGATATTTTAGTATAACAAATTTGTGATAATAATACAAAAATATATGTGGAATTCATATATATTATGAAATAAATGTTTAAATGTACTTGTTCTGATCGTTATTGTTTATATTTTGTTATATATTTTTTGATTATGATTGATTGATTGACTGATTATTTCATATATTATTATTGTTATTATTATCTCATGTATTCCCAAAGAAAGAAATTTTGTTGGTTTTAAATTTTCAATCATAGATAAATATAAACTAGTGGTAAATGGCATCGTGTCTTAAGGCAAATTGCTAGAACTTTCCGTACCGTAACGAAATGTTCGAGGAATATTAAATGTTTTCAAATAGATTATTATAAATATTTCAAAATTGTCTAATATTTATAGGAATTATATAAACTGAATTACAAAGTTAAAATTATTTATTTAAAGTATATAAGTGAGCTTTAGATTTTTAGAAAGTTTTTTGAATAATTCAAATATGATGCTTAGTTCTCTCAAAATCTGCCATTTTTTGCACATTTAACACTGTATCTTCAAAATGGCTCGACCTGCCTTTGTCAAAAACTAATCAGCACATGTTCCTATCAATAGGTATCGAATGTTTCTTGAATCATTCAAATCGGTTGATCCGTGCACCCGAAAACGTAGACGAAAGATTGTATCCATACATACATACACACACACATCCATTCTTTCTGAGGTATGCCGAAATGTTCAGAAACCTCTGAAACATGAAAATATGCAAATGATGAAAATATGCAAATGATGAATTAAATGCATTCGTAATTTTGAATGTTTCAAAATTATTTTTACTATTTATACAAAACTTTACTATATTTTACTAAACTTTAATAAAAAACCTAAATTTAAAAATGAGAGTGATATTGATAATATAATATTTTTAATTTAATATTGTTAAATAATTTATTGTCGTTCAATAAATTATTTTAATTAATATTGGTATTACAGAAATAGTTTAATGTATATCTTAAATTATACCAAAAAAATGAGCATTAGTATGTCATTTTGATCAAGATCATCGACATTATGGACTTTTGTGTTTAAATATGTTTTTTTTAAAAAAAAAACACATTAAGCAGATTATCAATTTAGAAATAATGACTATTTGTGTATTTTTTGTATTTTCTAGGATAACTATGGAAGGATTGCTAGGGTAATTATTATATAAAAAAATAATACCGCCATACATTATTGGTGATTTAAATTTCGCTATTTTAGTATTTAGAAGTAACGACTTATATTAAAGTTTCTAAATATCATAATAGACATACGAAGGGCAATAAATAAGTTTTGTTTGGAGTTTTTCTGGTACTAATCGATATAAATTATATTTTGTATTTGTTATTCAAATATAATAAACTTTCAGGTGCATTGTGTGAGTTGGTCAGGTGGATATTTCTGGAAGAACGGAGATTGGATGATGAGAGGTTTGTCGGTTGTTTTAATGACAAAATTACAAGAAATTATAATGAATGGTGAAACATGTTGTAATTAATTTAAAGTATTCAGTTAGGCTCCAATGAAACTTTTAAAAATATGAGAAAATTTTTTAATTTACCCTTTAGGCCCTTTTAGAGAGAAGATATTAAGAAAATGGTAAAACCTAATGTGTTGTAATTAATTTAAAACATCCAACTATGCTTAAATAAAAATTTAAAAAAATTATTCTAATTTACCCCTTAGGCACTTTTAGATAGAGAATATTAAGAAAATAAACAAATTCTGGGCCAAACAATCTTTTAGTAATTTTCATAATAAAGTCCATTACTGCAGTAATTAAGACTTTATGAAGACAATTGTATGAACAAACTAATGCCAAATTTACTAGAAAATGGTATTATTATTTAGTAATAATAAATGCGGAAGTAGTAAACGTTTTATTATAAAACATTAATAACAAAAGTTAAATATTTAGATTATAGTACTAACAACATGGTATCAAAAAGAAAAAAAGTGAGTAAAGAAAATTAGAACAAATTTGCATCTATTAATTTATAGTTAATAATTCTGATTTTTTTTTCAATTTTAATTTCAAGATATAATAAAATATAATGTGATGAGCCAAAGTTTAAACTAACCCTGAAATTTCACAAACAAGTTTCTAAAAGATGTTTTTCGAATTATTTCTGGTGCTACTGCTACTGTTTTCAATTATGTGTCATTTATATATAATCTATTGAAATCTTGCAACTATAGAACAATTTGATACCATAAAAATCCTATGGGGGTCTCTTTATACCTGCTAGGTGTAAGGATCAGGTTTAAGGTTTGATCGAACCGTTAGTCCTAAACCAGCCATCAGAGAGTGAAAGTGAAAGTGAGGATAATTCAGGACTTACTTATTATTTTTTAAATTAAAATGTGATGATTTGACTTAAAAGTGATATTGGTAACTTATTTAATTCTGTGATAATATAGTGATATTTATATAAAACAATATAATACAAAAATCATTAAGTATTTTATTGAGTTAAGTTTTATAGTCATTACTTATAGTGATATTTATATTTATTTTACAAAATTAGTGTATTTGTGATTGTTTTGTGATTAAAGAAATTTGTTGTATTTCAAAATGGTAAGTTTGAAATTTAAATTAATATTTTGTTTTTGATTTTTTTAAATTTGTATGCATTTTCAAATGCCGTTTTCTGAGTATGTGAATGTAAAATACATAAAGTGTGGCTTTTGAAAATATTATGCATATAATTGAAAATTTATAATAAAACTAATGGGGTGCATTGCATCGTGCTTTAATAAGGCAAATTGCTGAAACTTCCCGTACCTTAATTAAAAATCTTTATACGAAACCCAAAAAAATACACGAAATGTGTATACATTATTGAAATCTCTATAAAATATTTGATAATTTGATGTACATATGTCCAATAAACATTTTTGACCGCCAAATGACATTTTTTAACTTATTTTTGTGAGAGTCCATAACCGTTGGACCAGCCTTTCCAAAAATTTAAGCAGTTTTTCATCTTGTCGATACAAGTAAAATGTTTTTTGAATTATTAAAATCGGATGCTTCGTTCGCTTAAAATCTGAGTTATCGTTTTGGCACTTTTTGCCCCGTATCTTCGGAACGGCTAGACCTGCCTTCGCCAAAAACTAATCAGCACATCTCCTTATCAATACGAATCGAATGTTTTTTGAATTATTCAAATCGGTTGATCGGTGTTCCCGAAATCGTCGACGAAAATTTGTATCCGCACACACACAAACATATATACACACACATTCATCCATTTTTTCTAAGGTATGCCAAAATATTCAAAAACCTTAGAAACATAAAGATATATAAAAAAATTTAATTTCGATATTTTTGCCATTGCTATAACTTACCCTACGGAAAGTTAATAATATTTTTTTCAAAATGTATATTTAAAAATATATATAAAATATAAAAATTATATTATAATCAAATCCCAGATACAACTTGGATATTTTAAACTTCCCGTAGGGTAAGTTATAGTAATCGAAAATGAAAATTTTTGCACATCTTCACGTTTTAGAGGTTTCTGATCATTTTGACATACCTTAGAAAAAATGGATGTGTGATTGTGTGTGTGTGCGGATACTAATTTTCGTCGACGATTTGAAGAATTCAAAAAACCATCGATTAGTATTGATAAGGAGACATGCTGATTAGTTTTTGGCGATGGCAGGTCTAGCCGTTTCGAAAATACGGAGCAAAAAATCGCAGGTTCTGAGAGAACAAATCGGCCGATTTGAATAAGTCAAAAAACATTCGATTCGTATTGATGTGGAGACGTACTGATTAGTTTTTAATGTCAATATGTCAATATAGCTCAGTTGGTTGGCGCGTCACCGCAGTTTTCGTTTGCGTTAATAGATAAGAAAGTCGAAACTGATCAGGTTTGAATCCCGCGTCTGTAATATTAAAAAAAAAATTTAATACTTTTTATGTTTGTATAGTTGATACTTCATGAACTATTTCAAATTGTAACCTCAAGTGCATGTATTTCGCAGACGAAAAATTGATGCATTTAAAATAAAATATGTTTATACTAACAATAAGTCCACTTAATTAGATTTTGTTTATATATAATTCATTCAAAAATATATAAACAACGTCGTCTAATCTAATAAGTTTTCACATTTTGCCTACAAAGAACAAATAATGAAAATTCTAGTTTTTATAATATTTATTCATAGCCATTTTTGTTGACTGATTATTTTTATTCTTCGAATGTTTAATTACGGTACGGGAAGTTCCAGCAATTTGCCTTAACGCACTATGCCATGCGCCCCACTAGTTAAATCTATGATCCTAGACAATATACTAATATTATGATCTATGATGTCATTCGTTTAAATCTGGCGCCATTTTCTCGCGCAGTTTTTCGCTGCAAGACGCGCATTTGTCGCGCACCATGTTCAGAGCGTTCAGAGTACAGTCGCCCATCCCGCTCTTATTAATTTGGTTTTCTATGGCTCAGGCTATCTGATTTACTTGTTATTCCATGATTCCTAAAATGCCCTACTATAATTGTCAATACAAAGAGAATTTGTGTTCATATTTATATCACCCGTCGTCGAAGCCATTTGTTAATATGTCATTAATACAAACATTAAACGTTGCATGTGTTTTATAAGAATATTTTAGTGAATTCATTTTTGTCGTGAGTGACAACAAAAAAAGATGTGTGCTATATTCGTACATACGTATTCTAATTTGTCGTTTTTATTCTGTTCTAGATTGTTTATAACAAGACAAAAGTGAGTTCGAATTAAACATGCGTCGCGTTTATGAAGCATCGAAGACGGTACATATATTTGTGAAAAAGGTTTTGTTAGGTAAAGCTAGGTCATTGAAGGTGCAAGTTTAGCAGCGAAGATGAGGAGGCACATAGATAATAACAAGGGGCCCGTGGAGCCCCCGGCTCCCAAAATTACAAGATCGGATGTTTTCCCAAGTAAGTAGGAGACATATTAATGGTCCAAGGTGAACTGATGTGATCAATTAATATTTTCTAATTTGACATCAAATGAAGCCAGAGTCTCAGGTTAAAACTCAGTTTTTCAAAAATGTTCAAAAAATTTAATTTATAAGATGACAATGTTTCTTAGAAATACTGAAAAGTTTTAACATTTCAATATAAACACTTTTACATATGAATTAATCCTTTAATCATTCATAATTACATTTATTTATATACATCTAATACATCTAAAAATCTAATACATCTATTTTGAAGTTCTGACACATTTTTATGTACATTATAAATATGCTTTATCGATGCATTTGACTTAGTAAACTTCGACATCTATTTATTTATTGAACTTTAATACTACCAAATCAATTTAAAAAAATCAAAAACTGTTCGAAAGATATTAGATGTGAATGACACTAATCAGCCTTATGTGAAAATCTACTGAGTCGTTTTCTTGTAAATAACTGTTGAAAAAAACTTTAAGTCTGTTTCAATGGAACTTTTTTTGGCGATATACATCATGGTCTTATAGATCTTACTGATATATTATGAACTTACAACAAGTAGTTTAATTTTAAAAACTCATCAAAGTTTAAGAAAAAGAGTAGTTTTTTTGAAGTTTGTTAAAATTAAAATTAAACAATTTACTTGGTATAACAATAGAGTACTCGGTCTTAATAAACATACTAAATCATTAAAGTCCTACGGAAACTGGTTCAATTATAAAAATTGTTGATTTTTGAAAATTTGCTTTTAGAAAATACTCCTAGTTAATGTGTACGTTTGTTTTCAATAATGTGTAATAAATCCACTCAGAATACTTTTAATTACTCATAAATTTATTTATTTTTTATTGATTAAGTCGATTATTTACACATATCGGGAAGTTTATGTAACTTGCATCAATGCAAAATACCAGTACCAACTAGTTTATATATACATATCATTTATCTACTTCATTATACAATAATATAATATTTATTATAATTCAAATATTTTTAAATATCTATTTAATCTTCAATTTCTTTACAGTGTTTCTTTATTTTTCTTTTGAAATTATTGTCGTCATTGGTATTCTTAATATCGATTGGTAATTCATTATATATTTTACCTGCGCTCCATTTCGTTCACATCTATTTTTAACAAAATGTTCTGAATATTCAGTTTATAAAATGTTTTATAGATATAATGAAAGATTTTAACATTTCAATATAAATGCTATTTGGTATAAATTAAATTAAGTCTTCAATCATTTATAATTACATTTATTTTGATTTTATTTGACACATTTTCATGTACATTACAAATATGCTTTATCGCATTTCATCTGGTAAAAAGTGACTACTTCTACTTATTTCTTTTCAAAAGAATAACATATGTAAGTAAATTAATGACTTACGTTATAAACAAACAATTAATACTTTTTGTTTTCACTTTGATGAGAGTTTTGAATAAGTGTTCTTGAATTATTTATAATTACATTTGTACATTTTCAAGTACATTATAAATATATCGACAAGATCCAATTGGCTTTGTAAACTTGCACCTGTCTTCAACAAAAATGTTCTAAATATTCAATACATAAAATGTTTTATAGAAATAATTAAAGGCTCTGTGAAATTGTTAAAAACTCAGTTTTTCATATTACAGGTCATTTGTTAATTTTTATTTAACATTCCAAGAACAACAAAAATGTTCTGAAAATTTCATTTATAAGATGGCAATGTTTTATAGAAATACTGAAAGATTCTAACTTTTCTATATGAACGCTTTAACATATGAATTATTTCTTTAATCATACATAATTACATTTATTTTGAAGTATATTACTAATATGCATCATCGATGATATTGGCTATATTAACTTTCACATCTATTTTCAACAAAAATGTTCTGAATATTATATTTATAAAATGTATTATAGAAATTACGAAAGATTCTATCATTTTAAAAAGAACGCTATTTAATATGAATTAAACTAAGTCTTCAATTGTTTATAATTACATTTATTTTGAAGTTTTTCAAACACATTTTCATGTACATTATTAATATGCATTATCGATGCAATAGACTTCATAAATTTTTACATCTATTTTCAATAAAAATGTTCTGATTATTCAATTTTTAAAATGTTTTATAGAAATACTGAAAAGTTTTAATATTTCGATATGAACGCTTTAACATATAAATTAATTCTTCAATCATTTATAATTGTTTTAAAGTTTTAACACATTTTCAAGTACATTAAAAATATATCGATAAGATGCATTTGGCTTTGTAAACTTTTACATCTATTTTCAACAAAATGTTCTAAATATTCATTTTATAAAATGTTGTTGTAGGTTTTGTTGTGTATAAATGGATATATAAATGTATGTATGGATTTTCCATCAAAATCTCACATATAAAATTTATTTTATATAATCTTTTATAGATATAATGAAAGATTCTTACATTTTAATATGACCGCTATTTAATATAACTTAAATTAATTTTTCAAATTTAAATACATTATAATTTTTTGTTTTTACTCCAAAGAGAGTCTTGATCTTGAATGTTCTTGAATCATTTCTAATTACATTTATTTTGAAGTCTTTCTGACATATTTTTATGTACATTATTAATATGCATTATCGATGCAATTGTCTTTGTAAACTTTTACATTTATTTCTTTATTATCAAGAAAAAAACATATATAAGTAAGTAAATGGCTTGCTTAAAATTTAAATACAGTATTAGTTTATTTTTACTCCGATGAGAGTTTTGTATAAATGTTGATTTAAAAAAATGTTGTACGATAATTTATAAATAAGTTTATTGAACTACTAGTAAAACTATTATTTTATATTTTATACATGAATTTATTTTCAGCCTCTAAAGAGTTCGCTTTAAAGCTGTGTTTAAGATCTATATCAAGATCTACGGAGCAAAAGGATTTATATGAAGCTCACAGATTTCTAATGGAATATCTCAGGTATGATTTTATTTATTTTTTACTGTACTAAAAAAAATACTGTCATTTCAGATAACAAAACCAATAGATATTATTTTCATTTTGTAACAATTTTTTATAACAAAAAACAAGAAAACTAGATTACTGTTTTTCTGGATTTTAGTGAAAATGCTATATTTATTGTTCATTAACTTTGATTTTACATTTATTTACTTGAAACTTGAAATTCTTTGTGTAATTTGAAATTCATGTATACAGCATTAATCATTAACTTTTTAATAGGATGTGTTACTGATAATAATAATAGTAACACTCTTAAGGTAACTTTGTCTTAACTTATTCTACAAAATAAATAAGATAAGTAGTATTTAATTTTAAGTAGAATCTCTGTTTTCACATTTTGTCTACAAGGAACATATAATGAAAATGCTAGTTTTTATAATATTTATTCATAGACATTTTTGTTGACTTATTATTATTATTTTTATTCTTCGAATGTTTAATTACGGTACGGGAAGTTCCAGCAATTTGCTTTAAGGCACGATGCCATGCGCCCCACTAGTTATTAATTGCTATTAGCCTTATATTCGAAAAGGCACAATATATCTATTATCCTGCATAATTGTTGATTAATTGAATTGATTTTTTATTTTAGGCGACCAGACTACGCTGATTTAATTAATAATTATATTGAACTAACAGATTTAAGCGAAAAGGATTTACGAAAGAGATTACGCCAATCGATTGTGTGTTTTTATTTTTATAATGATAGTCTTGAACAGGTATGTAGAAATTAAATTTATATATTTGGTTATGTTGTACTATATTTATTGAATTCTGTTTTAGGCTATCGATATCCCAGTTACTAATATGTATTTTATCTCGCAAATAGTTGTATTTATTGATATGAAAGCTTTGGAGTGGCAAACGTTCAAAAGTCGTAAAAATAGAGCTAATGTAAGTATCTTTGAATATATTAATAATTAATGAATTGCAATATTGTTAATAATAATTATTTTTCTTTTGTTTAGGAGGAAATGCGAAAATTTACAAATAGATCAGCATCAACAGTCCTATCGTTGTTGAAATTAATATTTAATGAAGACATATTTCAGATATTGCCTATATTTTTAAGATGTAGATGTCTTACCTATGAATTCAAAGAATTTTTTGACACTATATTTAGGTTTGTAATGCATCAAAAAACATCATTATTTCTAATTTATTTAATATTAATAACTAAAATTATATGACTTTATAATATTTTTGATCCAGCTTTAATAGTGTGCATATACTGAGAGGGCAATGGAAAGTAATCCAGTGGGAAAATATTATAACATTTTAATTATTTTTCAGAAGGCATTTTTTTACAGCAAGCAACATTAACATATCAACAGGTTTATCTGCAATCAACACTCAACATTTGGAAGCCGTCTGCAATCAACACTCAACATTCAATAAAATCCTGCAATCAACATTTAACAAGATATTTATTTTTGCTCAACAAATAACTAAACTGTTAAATGAAATAATCTTCAATCAACACTCAACACTTATCTACAATCAACATTACATAATTATATTTTATTATAATTATTGTCCTCATAAATGTAAAATATTCTTAGTTTCTTTCTTTATTAAATTAATTTTATATGTTTTTGAAATAACTTAAAGGAAAAACTACATTGTTAAAATATTAAATTAAATTCAGCTTAAATTCAGATTGTGTAAAAGTAAATCAAACTAAATGTATATATAACTCAATTGGAAGTTTATTTTATTGCCGAAACCAATAAGATAAAAGTGAAAGATTTTTTTTAGTTTTAAATTCGATATTTGCACATCAAGATTGAAGATCAGAAGACATCACCGCAACATTAATAACATTTTTCTTAAGAACATATGTATATGAATGCCATCAACATTTGAACATATAATTGCTGCTTTAGTTATTTACTCGAGAGTGGACGTTTGTAGTAGGAGTAGTCTTAGTGCAGAATTTGAGTAGTGAAAATTTTAAATTGGTGTTGTAAATGTTTTATTATACACAATTTATGATAATTATATTTTTACTTTAGTATCATATATTAAATTAATTTTGTTTTTATTTTTTTGTATTGTATGTCATCAAATATTGTATTAGATGTATACTGCAATTTTATATCAATGAAATTGTGTAATTAGTTTTAATACAAAGCATTAAATAATTATGAAACTCATAGTGATATTTACATATAACTATATGTATATATATATATATATATATATATATATATATATATATAATAACTGTAGTAAGTTTTTACATTTTCATTTATCTTGAATTCTGCACTAACATTACATTCCACTGACCATGACCATGTTTCAATGCAAATGTTTTAATGTTGTATTTCATTTTTCAGGAAGCTGCTGGAGCAAAGAAAATTTAAAGTAACGACACAAAAGAACTTCATATGTTTGGTGTTAATTTATAAACTATGGAAGACATTATTCCTTTATGGCTCTGAAGAATATACTTTTGTACAAAAGTTGTCCCTTACAAACATACTGATTCATCCAAATCTTATGGAGAACAGTGATGATGTGATTGTTAAAGTGTTCAAAGTAGAGAAAACAGATGTTGAGCTCAAAGAGCTTACACTGTTTTACATGAGGCAGCCGATAGATTTAGTGGCTGCTTGTCTCGACTATTTTAAGTTTGCGTGTGCTGAAAGTGATTTTGACGAGTATTTACAGCATACAAATGCCCCATTTATACAAATAGATGAAGCAACCAGTGAAGCGGTAAGTCATATTTGTCAATTTCTTTTTTATTCCATCTAAGTATATATATATATATATATATATATATATATATATATATATTCAATAGATAAGTCCTGGATTTTTAATATATTGATTGTTTCTTTTCCGAACAGTAAATCCAATAATAAAAAAAAAATTGTTTATATATATATACTTTATATTCCATATAAAGTGCCATTTTATATGGAATTGTAGGGATACGTCCCAAGGTGACAGAATAAGGAAAAATAAATATTGTTGACAACTATTATGTAATATACAATATGTTAAGTATAATAGATACCATATTAAAATTAATAATAATTAAGTACCAAATCTAACATTAATTACAACAATATATTCAATAAGATTCTTATTTTATCTTATATTAATCTTATATTAATTACAATAATATATTCAATAAGATTCGATTTATAAAAGTTTTATATGAATGCTTGATGTGGTATTAAAATTGTTACCAACTAACGTTAATATAGGATCTGTTATACTTAAGATATTGCATATTATATAATAGTTCTCAATAATATATAAAAAACAATTTTAATTATAATTTTTGTACATTTTGATTAATTATGTTAAGGCTAAGGCTTACAAAGTTGCTTTCTCAATGCTCAACTGATACTCAATAGCCATATCAGCAATTTCCCTCTTAAAAATAAAACTTTCCATATACGAATCAATGTTTATTTCTTCAATAAGATTTTTTAAATTAAATGCCACTGTAAACTTCATTTCGATTTGAGTCAAATTTTATTAATTATTTTTTTCATTAAGAAATAAATAATACTTTTTTCATTCTATTGAGTTACATTCCCAAAACGAAGGCGGCTTACGTCAAAGTTTTCTTTATTAGTTGAAAATGACGGCATTTACAAAATATTTTGGGTTCGATATATATTGGAATCCGCGAGTAATGAAATTTTTAGCTAGTCGCAATTTTTTTAGTCACGAATAGCGAAAACGCAAATGAAGGAAGCGCGAATAAAGAACTTCTACTGTTTTTCAAATTGAAAATAATTAGAAAAAGGTAACTTTTTTTTCATTTTACTTTTCCTTTTTTGTTATCCACAGTTTTTAAAGAATGGTACATTCCATATCCCCGAAATGTAGAATGAAATAATTAGAAATTGAATACAAACTTTCATAAATTTCATAAATATATATTAGGGCGGGCCAAATTGTATATAGTCTGGTATGTAATTATGGTTCTATGGGTCACACTATGGTCATTTTATTAAATTCTAAGTCAATTTCTTCATAATTGTTGTGTTTATTAGGTTTTCCTTTCAATATTTTTGCAATTTGCAGCTAAAATTGGATTTTAAACCAATTTTTATATTATTATTCAATCTTTTATTCGAACAAAACAAACATATATTTTATTAAGATCTTCTATTTGTCGATTTGTATGGGTAAAAAGAAGTCGCGTAGGTACATATGATTTTCGGATACTAGGGATCAAAATAAGATCTTAGCCGTAGAAACCTTATCACTAAAATAAATTCGGATGTCCCGTGCATTGACCCAAAGATTGAGTCAATTTTTGAAAAATCCTGTTTTGGCTCATTTAGAGCACCCCAATAATGTCCAAATGTATGACCGCCCCCCAACTAACATTGGAAGGTCGATCTACCCATGCTCTTGGTTCACCCTCTGGGACCTCCCCTTAGAGGTTCCTATATGAAAATTGCATCATTTTTGGTACTTCAACATGACGAAAATCAGCGATTTATTTTTATTATAAAATTTATTTAATCATAACATATGTAAATAAAACTTTGTAAAACTTATAAATTATTGCTTGAAGACTTTTGGTTTTAAGTCTGGAAAATTTCGCAAGGCTCTTTAATGTCGGCGCCAAAACAGTCTCTAGCTAGCAAAAACGCAGAGACAAAATGCATTCGAAAAAATTTAAACAAAAGATTTTAATATTTTTTTTTTTTGTGAAAATGTTTTTTGTTTGTGTATGAATTAATACCCGAAAAAAGGGTTTGAAAAAAAATTGCTTTGTATAAAATACCTAAAACGCAGATTTTTTGCAATTTTTGTATGGATGACCTCTAAGGGGAGGTCCCAGGGAGGGAGCGAACCATATGCATGGGTGGATTGGCTTTTCATAGTTAGTTGGGGCTTGTCATACATTGGGACGCGATTGGAGCACTCTAAATGGGTCAAAATGGAATATTTCAAAATTTGGGTCAATGCACGGGACATCAGAATTCATTTTAGAGATATGGTTTCTTCGGCAAAGTATTTTGTTTTATTCTAGGGATATCCGAAAATTATATGTGCACTTTTAAATCGACCCGCCTTAACACACACACACATATATATATATATATATATATATGTGTGTGTGTGTGTGTGTGTGTGTGTGTGTGTGTGTGTGTGTATTAGTGATGTTCCAATTCGAATCAAGTTTTTGAATCACATTTTGCTTGAATCGAAACAACTCGTATCAAGCTGAGAGATATTTACTGTGATATAATATGTATGAGCATAAATTTAATGAATATAAAAAAAAACTTAATATAGAAACTAAAAATGTATCAAATTACAGGTAACCCCCGCATAACACGGTAGTTTAGTTACGTTCCGAAAAAGTAGCGTGTTATGCGAATCCGTGTTATACGGGAAAAAGAACTAGTACAAACTAGTTTCGTTCCAAGAATTCAAAAAAAATTACTGCATATCATGATTTTATAATAAATATTATATTTTTTAATTTTTTAAGAAGTAATATACTTTACATGAATTACATTATTTTTTTTTTGTCATAATTAACTGGTAAATGCTATCCAATGCGATTCTTTTTTGCGAAATATCCTCATCTTCTGAGCAGTTTTCTGTACTACCTTCAGATTTGTGTATTATTTTTCGAAAAGATATTTATATATTTAACACATGCAAAGTTATCTTTATTAAAATTTTATGCTCATTTTATTTAAAGGATCTTTGTTTAAGATTAATTCGCATAAGCCCAGAATTTTATATCTATAGAACGTATCAAATATGTTATCGTTTGCATTAATAAATGAAATCACATTTATTGAACTATTGTACTGCGATTTTACTAATTTTAGATTGAATAAAGTTTGATTTTTATTGATTTTACTATATTTTTTATTTTATTAGGGTTTTACTCAATTTTGAAACCGTGTTAGAGCGAAGCCATGCTTAAAAGCGCCGTGTTGTAAGGGGGGATGGTATCAATTCTCAATCCGTGTTATAGAAGTACCGTGTTATGCGGGGGTTACCTGTATTCGATATACTCGCTTGCATTTAAGCCATTCAACTTCAAAACATCCCGGATAACCCAACAAACATTCATTGTGTTCTTGCATTTGTTTATTAGACGGGACGCCGAGTTTATAAAATAAAATAAAATCAACATGGTAGCAATTCACTCTAGATTCCATATATTGTTTTCTATGCCTTAGTGATACAGAAGTGTTTGATCATCTATTGTGAATTAGTTTGAAAATATATTTCAATTGTATTCAAGAATAAATAATTTTTAATAATGTTTGTAATATATTTTTTTGATAGTTTACAAGTAGTAAAGTATATTGGTTAAACTCAAATTTTTATCATAAATTTTGATCACATTATTTAACTTTTATTTGTCGATCTGGCCTGATTCGAGTAAAATTTGTTATTCCAGGAAATGTTTGAATCGGCTAATCATTTTAGATTCACTACATATGTGCAATTAATTAATTTTAATAATATATAAATACTTTTTAGAGTTCCTGGCCTGACAAACAACCTAAAATCGAGCCAGGCACTGATGATGCCACAAAAAATAAAAATAAAAGTAGAAAGAACAAGCTATCGAGTTTCGGAAGAGATAGTTCCTGTGATGAGAATTCAGATGATGACGACGTAATTCTACTCAGCGACGATGAGAAAAAATATGATCCACAAAGTGTTTCATCTAAGTTATATAATGTGAATAATTCTTCAAATTGGAGAAATTCAGTGTTCCTTAATATTCCCAACAGAGGAGAAAGTCACCGTAATGTAGACAGAAATAAATCTTGTGTAGATAACTCAGATGATGATGATGTGATCTTACTCAGCGACGAAAACAATGATGCAGACAGAAAGTTTGATTCGAAACGACCATTGTCCAACATAGATTACTTAAAAAATGCGTCGACGTTAAGAAAATTTCTTGAGGCTTCTGTTAGAAATGAAAGTAAACGAATCATAAACAACTCTGAATATGACACAATATGCTTGACTGATAGTGACGATGACAGTACAAAACCATCTAGGCCTTTAATTAGACCTGTAGCTATAAGCAAATTACAACGTAAGCCAGAAATTGTGACATCTACACCTATCAGGAATGGACTTGTCAGTAATCGTGCAAGAAAAAATACCATTCGAAAACAATTTGAACCTTTACCTAGACTTCCAGATTCATATTTAGAAGGCATTGCTGTCTTGACAGAAAAGAAGCCAAAAGTGCAGAACGATGTTAGTGATGTTAGATCGAAGCTACCAATATTTCCAAAACTGTCTTGCATAGCTAACATTGAAGATAATCTAGCACAACGTGTTTATAATACAAATAGAAGGAAAGTACAAGTAAATGATAAAGATTCATTAGCAAAAATATCTAATAGGAACAAAGAAGCAAACAAAAATGACTTCTTTGGCAAGTTATATAACCGGTTTAAAGAAACTTCTAGTGTGGATGTAAGCAGTAGCAAATTATTGAGCACTTCTAGTTTAGATACAAGGACAGACTTATCTAAACCCTCACAATCAGATGAAAAGGCTGTAGTCTTTTCAACTGTGATAAGAAATGATGTTACACATGATTTTAAGAACAGTTGCTTAGACGAAAGAATTGAAAACGTTAGTTCTTCAACATCTACCATAATGGAATCTAGTAACATGCTGCCAGAACTGAAAAAACTTGAGGATCCAATAAATCAAAAGAATACTGATCCATGTGCAAGATTAAAATATGACATTGGTTGTGATAAATGTTCGAAACAATTAAGTGAACCCAATACTGATCATTTAACGCCAATAATTAATAAAGATGCCAGTGTATCAAGAAGGGATTTTTCTGTTCAACTTCGAGAAACTGAAACAAATGATAACCAATTTTGTACGGCTTTTGATAAATCAATTCTACCTCAAGAAATAAGTGAAGTAGAAGTTGCTTCTCCTTTACTAAAAACTGGTTGTGATAAATCACTAGAGTATGTTTTAACTTTGGAAAAATCATCTACTGGTGATGTTTTGTGTACTAATTTTACAAAATCTGGTGATAAAATTGGGGAATCTAATGAAATTGAAGAAAGTGTATCAAAACGTGGTGTTGAAGATTCTTCTACATCTGCTCCTACCAAAACTTCAGCAAAATCTGAAATTAATATCAGCACAGATTTGGAAGTATTACCAGGAGATTCAAGCATTAATGAACCTTCAAGCCAATATCCTGAGATATCAAATAATGATTCAATCATTTCAACAGATGATTTATGTATAAATGAACAAAAGAATGAACAATTCAATAAAAATTTAAGAACTTCACAAATTGATAGTGAATCATTGCAAATTAAATTATCAGATGAAACATCCCAAGTTGAGAAAAATATAGAAAAAGTATTAGAATCTTCACAAAATTGTAGTAAGAATAAAAATGTATCAACCTCAAAGGAAGATACATTAGAAGATAAAATTTCTGAACCTATTGTTAATATTGAAGTTATTGATCATCTTTCACAAGAAACATCAAATGATGATAAAGATCAAGATAAGTTATTAGAATCTTCTCAAAATCAGGATATATTGGAAGATGAAATTCCTAAATCTATTGTTGATATTGAAGTTACTGATCATATTTTACAAGAAAATTTATCACAAGAAACTTTATCATCATGTGACGATAAAGTGACTGAAAAAAAGTTTTTGCAATCTTCTCAAAATTCCACTGAATCAACAAATTTATTGAAAGATTCTTCAAATCAAGATGAGATTTCTAAACCAATTGTTGAAATTGAAGTTCCTGATATTCTTTCACAGGAAACATCATGTGGTGATGAAGATAAAGAAAAGTCATTAGAATCTTCTCAAATTTGCAATAAACAAATATCAACTTTGTTGAAAAATTCTTCCAATCAAGATATATTGGATGATGAATTTCCGGAACTTATTGTTGAAATTGAAGTTACTGATCATATTTTACAAGGAACATCATGTGACGATAATGTTGAAGAAAAGTTTCTGCAATCATCTCAAAATTTCACTGAATCAACAAATTTATTAGAAGATTCTTCAAAGAAAGATAAATTGAATGATGAGATTTCTAAACCAATTGTTGAATTTGAAGTTACTGATCATCTTTCACAGGAAACATCATGTGATGATAAAGATAAAGAAAAGCTATTAGAATTTTCTGAAAATTGTGATAATCAAATATCCACCGCCTTAATTAAAGATTCTTCAAATCAAGATATATTGGAAGATGAAATTCCAGAACTTATTGTTGAAATTGAAGTTACTGATCATATTTTACAAGAAAATTCATCGCAAGGAACATCATGTGATGATAAAGATAAAGAAAAGCTATTACAATCTTCTGAAAATTGTGATAATCAAATATTGACCGCCATAATTAAAGATTCTTCAAATCAAGATCAATTGGAAGATACAATTCCAGAAGCTATTGAAATTACTCATCATCTTTCACAAGAAAATTTATCAGAAAAAATATCACCTGATACAGATAAAGAAAAGCTTTCAGAATCTTCTGAAAGTTGCAATAATCAAATATCAATGCCCTTAATTCAAGATTCTTCAAATCAAAATAAATTGGAAGATAAAATTCCAGAACCTATTGTTGATATTGAAATTCCTCATTATCTTTCACAAGAAAATTTATCAGAAGAAATATCATGTGATGATAAAGATAAAGAAAAGCTTTCAGAATCTTCTGAAAGTTGCAATAATCAAATATCGACTGCCTTAATTAAAGATTCTTCAAATCAAGATAAATTAGAAGATAAAATTCCAGAATCTATTGTTGATATTGAAATTACTCATAATCTTTCACAAGAAACATCATGTGATGATAAACATAAAGAAAAGCCATTAGAATTTTCTGAAAATTGTGATAATCGAATATTGACTGCCTTAATTAAAGATTCTTCAAATCAAGATAAAGTGGAAGACAAAATTCCAGAAGCTATTGTTGATATTGAAATTACTCATCATCTTTCACAAGAAAATTTATTACAAGAAACATCATGTGATGATAAAATGCATGAAGATAAAGAAAAGCCATTAGAATTTGCTGAAAATTGTGATAATCAAATATCGACCACCTTAATTGAAGATTCTTCAAATCAAGATCAATTGGAAGATAAAATTACAGAAGCTATTGTTGATATTGAAATTACTCATCATCTTTCACAAGAAAATTTATTACAAGAAACATCATGTGATGATAAATTGCATAAAGATAAAGAAAAGCCATTAGAATTTTCTGAAAATTGTGAGAATCAAATATCAACCACCTTAATTGAAGATTCTTCAGATCAAGATAAATTGAATGATGAAATTTCTAAAGCAATTGTTGACATTGAAGTTACTGATAATCTTTCACAAGAAATTTTATGTGACGATAAAAATAAAGAAAATCTATTAGAATCTTCTCAAGTGAAAGATGAAATTTCAGAACCGATTGTTGATATTGAAGTTACATCTATTGCTGCAATAAGTACCAAAACTGTACCCGAGGAAGTGAATAAAACTGATTGCAATGATTATTTACTAAAAGTTGAAAATGATAAAAGTGTCCTAATAGACCCTAAAGATAAAGATTGTTCCAAATCTCACACTGAGAGTACAGTTGAGCAGGAAACTACTGAAATAATCCCGAAAGTGAAATTAGAAAACTTAGTGCCAGATATAGTACCAGACCATGTTTCTGATACAAAGGTTGACAAGATCACAGATGAAACATTGGTAGAAACAATTAAAGAATCAAACATTGAACAGAAGAATGTTGAAAAAGAATGTTTGGAAGAATCTTCTAGCGATGGAATTTCGAAAATTATTGAAGCATGTAGCAAAATTGAGGAAGAAAAAGGTGAAACATTTACTGATTCCACAAGTAACACAGTTCCACAAATATCTCATGATATAGACTCATCTAAGCAAGATATTGCAGATGTGATTGATAATTCAAAACTGATTGAAGATAAATCTTCATTGGAAGCAGAAAATTTGTCTCCTATTGATGAATCTGCAATATTAGTATCATATGAATTGGAAAGTGAAAATAATAATGAAGTTAAAGAAGCTGAGAAACAATCAACTCCTCCTGTTGATCAAGAATTGAATAAACAAGACGATCAGACAACTTCAAATTCAATTGATACAGGCGAAATCAATGATAATGAAAATACCTCAGAAAATTTTGATTTGGTATCTGGGAAAATGAAGTTAGTACAAAATCTGATGAAGTAATTGATCAGCCTACAAATGAAATAAAAACATCACTGAATAACAGTGCACTAATAGCTTGTCCACCTGCTCTTGATAACGAAAAATCATCTGAAATTTCTGATGGTTCTCTAATAAATCAAGAACGAGAAAATATTCCTGAAAGAGATGGTAAAAATTCTGTTGATTCTAAGTCATTACAACAAGTGGAAACTGTTAAAATGGCACAAGAACAATGTGAAAACAAATCAATTTTTGATTCAAGTTTAAACGAATCGCAGGAAAAACCATTTAAAGGCAATTCTGATCCTAGTAAGAAAGAGGAAAATTCATTAAAGATAGAAGCGGTTGATGCAAAGTCTGCTGTTTTAAGCATACCTCAAGTAAAGAACAAAACTAAACCTATTAGAAAAGCTCCAAAACAAAGAAGAAGAAAACAAAAGGGATGTTTTAAAGGAAAGAGAAGAAAACAAATCAGGAATAAGAACTTGGCAGGTGCAGCTAAAAATGTTGACAGTACTACTGATAATATATGTGCAGATAATGATATTTCAAATAATCGAGCTAATGTAGAGATCATAGCAGAAAACTCCAACAAACCTGTAATAGACGCCATCAGTCCAAATTCAGAACCAAAAAAGAATTTATTACAAGACATCCAAAAGGAAAATATTTCTACTGAGGACAATATTACAAATATAGTAATATATGAAAAACCAGTTGATGAATCATTATCAGGAAACAATCATCAGGAAAAAATTGCAAACAGGCTGATATTGCTTTGGCTTCATGTGAGAAAGACCAAAATATTATTGATGAGGTGTCTCTAAAATCTGAATTAATTGAAAGCAATAAAAATAATGAAATTGAAGTTAAGACCGAAACAGATAATGAACATTGTAATACCCAGGAATCTTCAACAGATCATCCTTTTATTTTTAATTTGGATATTATTGTTGCCCAGCAAGTTGAAGTGTCGTCACAATCGTCAAGTGATGAGAAACAAGTACAATCATTTCAAGAAGATCCTAGTTGTGGAAATGATTCACTTAACTTGGAAAAGGATGAAAGTACTATTGTAGAAAAAATTGAAGAAGATAAATCTCAACAGCATGTTCAGGAAAAATTACCAGATCCTGAGCCATATGTTGATGAAAATGTAGAAAAGTCTACAAATAAATTGGTAAATGACATGGAATTTAATAAAGTGATGGACTTTGTTAAATTAAAAACCGAAAATTTAGATAGAAAAGTTATTAAAAACATTGCAATTGATACTGTCAACAAGAACCAAACAAATATTTTTAAAAATGCTACTAACTTGATGATAAAATCTGTAGAAAAGGTCATGAAGAATATCAAAAAGAAGTCACGCAAAACTGGAACTTTGAAGAAGTTTGAAACTTCTGAAAGTCTCAATGACAATCCACTATTTATCGAAGATACAGATACTTTAATTGGTGCTGAAGAAGTGTGTATTACTCAAGATCCGAAACGTGAACAATTGCCAGAAATATCATCATTGGACAATCTGCCGAAAGCGGAGAACGAACATCAAAATTATAATGACATTGAATCACCAGTTGAAATTGCTCGCAAAACGTTACTTGAGAAAATTAAAATTGTACAAGAATCGTGCAAAAAGGAATCTAAAATAGTAAGAGAAAATAGTAATTCAAATCAAAAAGACTTTGAGACACCATTCAACAAACCAGTCAAGAAAGTTACTAAAAAAAATAAAAAAATAAGCTTGGACGTAACAAATAGTGAATCAAAATTGAAAGAAACTACAAATATGAGGGTTACGAGAAATTCAAGGTTGAGAGACACAAAAAAATTGGAGGACTGCACAGAAAATCTTCCGTCTGTAGTAGAATTAGATGCAGCAGCTAATATTGAATCACCCAAAAATGATGTCCATCAAATTGATGCATTATCATTGGCTGCAATTAGAAAAAGTCGGAGATCTGCAGATGAAATTTCAAAAATTGACTTAGATTCAAATAATATAAAACATGAAATACCTGCAGTAATAAGAAAAACTAGAAAATCTGCAGATGAAATCAAGATGGATAGTCCTGTTAGTACTAGAAAAAATGTAAGAACTAGGAAGAGTTTTGATGTTATAAATACAGATAGCTCAATATCTGAATCTGATCGAATGATTCAAACTAGATCGAATAAAACTGTAATAAGTCCATTAAATAAGGCCATTTCATTTGGGCGTGTTAATTCAGGTGATAGTACAGAATTATTAAGCCCAAAAATGGAAACACCAAAACGATCAAAGAAGAAGGAGGCTAATGTAAAAGCACAAATATCACCTAATGAATTCGATATTGATGATTATCCTTTATCTGAATTGAAAAGTATCATTAGGAAAAATGATGCTGGCTCAAAAAGCTTTTCATATGTGGAACAACCAAAGGAAGATATCCCGAAAAGCCCACTTTCTTCTGAAACCAAATTGGAGTTATTCAAATATGTGCAATTGACGCCAAAATCCGATATTATATCATGTGATGATTATGATCCACTTAGATTTTTCTCACAAGTTGCATCAAATGTTGATGAATGTCGTAGAATGGTGGAGAAAGGTAATAACAGTACAAAGGAACACATTAAATCTCCAGTTCCCATTGATAATAATACTGAATTAAATAAGAAGTCCAATGATTATCTGACAACACCAGTCAAAAAGCGGGGAGTTACTAATTCGAGAGTCAACAAGAAAGAAAAGCAAGTTAAAAAACCTTCGTCTGAAGAAGCAACAAAACAATTGTTAGCTCACGCGACAGAATTGTGCAGTAAGACGAGGAAGACAATTCAAAACACTCCTGCTCAAAATGTATTGAATAATTCAAATTTAAACATGCATATTCAAAATGAAACTCCTGATATAAAAATTGAGACAAGTGTTGCAAATGTAGACAAAAGAACAATTGTGGAGCATTCCAAAAAAGGGAAAAGAAATAGAAGTAAAGCCATATCTCCTTCTAGAGCGGATAAAACGTTGAGCACGGTTTCAAATATTGAATCCACAAGTTCTGAAATAATTGCTGAGAAATCTTCAGAATCAAAAGATGCTCTTAATGAAGATAATATAATAATGCAAAGAAATAGAAACAAGAACACACCAAGCCTTACTCCAACAGTTATAAACAAGTGCTTGAATGAGGATATTACTGCAATTCAAGAAAAAGTGCCAGATTTAAAATCTGATACTACTTCTACAATAGAACAAGTAGCCATACGGATTATTGAATTGGAAAAACAAATCGAGCAGAGTAAAAAGGCAAAGAGAAGCAGAGGCAGGAATGCATCTAATAATTTATTAAATAATGTAGAAGCAGTGCAAATTAATAACAAAGCGCTTGATGTAATAGGAAGCAATACAACCATAGATACAGTTCAAAAGGTTGCTGATGTGCCGGTAGAATCTAAAAGTCAATTTGTAGAAGAACCACAGAAGAAACATAATGAATTTACATTGCCAGAACCAAAAAATATTGTAACTAAACAACCAGTTGCTGCAAAAGATTTATTGAGCCCGACTGAAAATAAACCAGCTAGCGCATCCAAAAAGACCATGATTTTGAGAAGGTATTCATCAGAATTTGCTAAAGAATCCATTTCAACTTCCCCTACCGTTTCTTCTGTTAGCAATAAACAAATTATTAAACAGAACACTCCTATTTGTAAACCAGATCTAGATGACATTCCTGGTGGTTCAATTCCACAAGAGAATGCGGAGATTAAATTAAGAAGTATTCTCAAAAAGCAAACTGATAACGTCGAATTACCAAAGAAATTTGTTCGCAAACGATCCTTGGTGACATTTTATTGTGATAGTCTTGAATCTTCAAAGGGTGAAGTTAATTTGTCAGAGGATAATAAACAGAATTTGGTTTCTAATAAGGAACCTGGGATGTTTGGAGTAAATACTCCAAATGAGGTTCAAACCATAAGTCAAGTGGAGAAAACTAGTGTTGAGGAAAAAGAAGATACATATCCTGATAATAAAAGTCCTGATATTATAGACTTGAGTGTAACACATACAGAAAAATGTTCGGATACAGATAATTACAATGCTACAATTTCTCCAAGTACATCGGTAATGAAGATGAATGAACCACAAATAAAGAAAAACAGGAGGAAATCGAGCACGATTTTCCACAACAAAAGGTCTGCAAACAGTGAGAACACAACTGAGAATAATCGTATATTGTGTGAATCTTATCAGCCAATATGGGAAAATGAATTATTGTTATCACCATCTTTACGCAGTCAGAAAACCAACCACTATTCTGATGCAAAAATTGATACTTCTAGCAAATACGATCTTCGTGATATTGTAGACTTAACTGTCCGCGGTGAAAAGGTAGACGATCCCATAGATTATTCAGCTAATACACTTCGGTCTTGCAATAATGATAAAGTCATCGCAAAACCATCCGAAGTTCGAAAAAATATCAGTGATTTTTCAATAAACGCAATCATAGCTAAAAAAGAACCTGAAAAAAAAGAGAGCATGGTAAAAGATTCAACAATGGCCATAAATGCTTTGGGTAAAACTTCTGCCACAAAAGCTTCATTAAAGAGTTACACAGATTTTGTGAATAAACCTGAAACTTTACATTCAACATGTAAACCTATTGAGATAAGAGCTGCAAATATTAAACCTGGAAGTATGTCTAATTTTGTTAAAGATCCTCAAATCAGTAATATTTACTCTAAGGAAGTTTTACAACCAACATCCAACATAGAAATCGCTAGAAAAGTTATCTTTTCACCTCAGCAAATTGTTGGTAAAAGCAAGTCAATCAAGGGTGGATTAAAAACTAATAAAGATTTATCAAAAATTATAGAAAAGATACCAGAAAATGTTGTTGGTATATCTATAAAGCAAGCAGATGAGTTGAACAAACATGAAATAAAATCTATATCTTACCTTAATAAACAAAACCAACAAGCAGTAGAAAAATTAGAGACTACAAATGAAGATAAAACTTTGTTATTTAATCAAACATCTGTTTTGAGTGACAAGATTGATACCTTGAAAGACGATCAGAAATGTAATAAATCAGATGCTGGTGCAACAATGTTCATTCATGAATCAGGTTTGAACATACAAATTTGTAATAGTTTACCACCAAGTGATATCAAAATAAATGAAAAATCTGAAACCAGAAGAATTATACAAAATATAGAAGAAAAAATAAAACGAATAGAAGTGGATTGCAAGGAGTCACATAGTAAATTATTGGCAAGAGAAGAAAGAAGAAAGATTAATGAAAAGGAAGAACCATGTAAAAAAGTAAAACATGATGCCAAGGAAAAAACTAAATATAGTAAAGTGAGTTTAGATGTTCAAGATCATAGCAGAAATACCTTGACTGAACAGCATTTTATTGACAAAGTATTATCAATTGACTTAAGATCAAATAGAAAAGAGAATATTGATAATGTAGTAAAGAACATCACTACTAAGACAAACGAATCACTTAGAAATTATGTTCTTCATGATGAGGGAGCATGTGGTAAGTTTAATGATATTATAAATGAGAGCATGTTAGAAGAAATAAAATATATGATTGCCAATAAAGATGACAATATAATCAAAGAAAAACCTAAGATGACTAATGAGAATGTGAAAACAGGCAGTAATATTGAAGATAAGCAAATTATAAAGTCAGAAAACACTAGAGAAATTGAGTATAAAGAATCTGAAAAGAATATGAGAAATAAACCCTCTCAATTGCTGTCTAAGACAAAAAATGCTGAGGAAAATAAATTAATCAATAAAACTATCATAAAGGATGAATATTCTAAACAAGAAAGCAAGCAAGTGGAAGCTAATAAGGTATCCGTGAAAAAGCAAAATCTGAATTCTGAGTTTAACCAGCTAATTAAATCTGATAAATTGGAAGTAATTGGACATCAGTTAAATGAACAAGTAAGTAAAGAAATGTCTAAATTCACTGTAGTCAAAAAGAATGAAGAAAAACAGATACAACTCAGTAAAGAAAAGTTCAAAACTGCTGAAGTTAAGAGTGAAGAAAAAGAACCGCAAATCAGCAAAGAGGCATTCAAATATGCTGAACTTGAGAAGAGTGAGGAAAAAGAACCACAAATAAGCAAAGAAACATTTAAAGTTGCTGAAGTCAAGGAAAAAGAACCACAAATGTGCACAGAAATGCTCAAATCTGCTGAAGTCAAGAAGGAAAAAGAAGCACAAATGTGCACAGAAATGCTCAAATCTGCTGACGTTATGAAGAGTGAAGAAAAAGCACCACAAATCAGCAAAGAAACACTCAAATCTGCTGAAGTCGAGAAGAGTGAGGAAAAGGAAGCACAAATGTGCACAAAAATGCTCAAATCTGCAGACGTCAAAAAGAGAGAGGAAACAGAAGCTCCATTGTGTACAGAAATGCTCAAATCTGCAGACATCATGAAGAGTGAAGAAAAAGCACCTCAAATCAGCAAAGAAACATCCAAATCTGCTGAAGTCAAGAAGCGTGAGAAAAAAGAAGCGCAAATGTGCACAGAAATGCTCAAATCTGCTGATGTTATGAAGAGTGAAGAAAAAGCACCTCAAATCAGCAAAGAAACGTCCAAATATGCTGAAGTCATGAAGAGTGAAGAAAAAGAACCACAAATCAGCAAAGAAATGCCCAAATCTGCTGAAGTCGAGAAGAATGAGAAAAAAGAAACATCCAAATCTGCTGAGGACAAAAAGTGTGAAAAAATAAAACTTCAAATTAGCAAAGAAACATCCGAACCTGCTGAAGTCAAAAAGAGTGAGAAAAAAGAACCACAAATCAGCAGGGAAATATTCAAATCTGCTGAAGTCAAGAAGAATGAGAAAAAAGAAACATCCAAATCTGCTGAAGTCAAAAAGAGTGAGAAAATAGAACCACAAATCAGTAAAGAAACGCCCAAATCTGCTGAAGTCAAGAAGAGTGAGGAAGAAGTACCACAAAACAGTAAAGAAACGTCCAAATCTGCTGAAGTCAAACAGAGTGAGAAAATAGAAGCACAAATCAGCAAAGAAACGTCTAATTCTGCTGAGCTCAAAAAGAGTGAGGATAATGAACCAGATATCAGCAGAGAAAAATGCAAATCTGCTGAAGTCGAGAAGAATGAGAAAAAAGAAGCATCCAAATCTGCTGAAGTCAAAAAGAGTGAGGAAAAAGAATCACAAATCAGCAAAGACACATCCAAAATTACCCAAAAGAGTGAGGAAACAGAACAACAAATCTGCAATGTAACGTCCAAATCTGCTGTGGTCACAAAGGATGAGGAAAAAGAAGTACATATCAGCAAAGAAAAGCCCAAATCAATGGTAACCAAGAAGTCTGAAGAAAAAGAACGAATTAACAAAGAAAAGTCTAAATCTGCTGCAGCCAAGAAAAGTAAGGAAAAGGACAATGTAACGAATGACGTGAAAGTGTATGGAAAGAAAAATAAAGCTTCTGCTGATTTGCCACCTAAAACAGAGGCTGTTCAATTGCCAAAAGAAATTGCATCTATGAAAAGCATACATGAAGTTGAAAATGTGAAAAAATTTAGCATTGAGAAGGATGTACAAGCTAATTTCTCAAGCCCTGTTGAAGATCATATTACAAAACAAGATAAATCTAAAGTAGATGATGAGAAATTAGTAAAAGTTTTCAAACAAAGCGAACATGTTAGTAGTGACAATGCAGTGAAAAATACTGAGGAAAGTATCAACAATCAAATGATGATTCAAACAAAACCTGCTGATGAAAATATTACCAAAGATACTGAAATCATGAGGGATGAGCCTAAAACAACAAACACAACTAAAATAATCTGTAATAAGCTTTCTAAAAATAACAAACGTGCAAATGAAGAAGATAATGTGCAAGATGCTGTTAAAAAAATTAAGCTGTCTAAGGAAAATGTGAAAAGTAAGAAAATAGCTACATGTAAAAAGTCACAAGGCTCTACAAATTCTATTAAAAATCGAAATGAGCAGAAAGTCAGTATTACAGAAACAAGTGTTAAAGCTATGGTAAAAGAAATGGAACTTCCTGAACAGCAAAATGTTGGTGAAACAGTTGACGAAAATAACAAGATTTTAGTGGAAAATAAAAGTAAGGTAAAAGAAGCCATCACTGTTGATGTGTCCATTCAGGAAAAATCTGTAGAAACCCTCAAAGAATCTGTGAAAGAGGAAAATGTAGCACCTGTAATGAGCTTTGGTAAGATTGATGAAATCATAAAAAATAAATCAAGTAAGGATATCGCCAATCGAGACATACCAGGTGAGAGTATAGATCCCATTGAGGGTAAATCTTTTGATGTTCCCAATGAACAAATCAAAGATTTTGTGAAAGAAGATAATAAAGCTGTGAAAAATAATGAAATTATCATTGAAGGTTTAACCCAAGTCCCAGTCTCACAACCAGAAGAAGCAGCTAAGGAAAAATCTAATGTAGACCTTTTGAAACAAGAAAGTAAAATGATCATGCTGGATATTGCAAAAAGAGATGAAACTGAGAAAAATATTTCCAAAACTATGCAACCTGTTGAGGTTTCAATGAAAAACAGAACAGATACTTCAGTTAAGCAAATGGAACAAGAAACACCAAAAGCAATTCTTGATAAGAACTTACAGGAAGAAAGTAAATCATCAAATGAAGGTAGAATCATCAATAAGCATAAGACTCATAGAAATAAAGAAATTCCATTTGCCACTACATCAGAAGGCAGCACCAAAACACCAATTGAGCGAAAAGTGGAAAAAGTTGATAAGGCAAAGATCAATAAAATCTCTGTGAAAGAGGAAAACATGTCTGTGCCGGATAAAATCTCAAAGAAGAATATCAGTAAAGCAATAAAAAGTAATAGACCTTCTGTTGAAAATACAACAGAAGTTGGTAATCCAAAATTGGAAAAGGATTATTCAGGAAAGCATGATAAAGATGTGCAGGACAAGGAAAGTCCAAAATCTACACAAGATGATATTAAAAGTCACGAAACTAAATCCATTGTGGAATGTACCAGTAATGTAAAGGCTAAAGAACTAGAAAACATTACAAAAGCATCGACTGAACAAAAATTGAAGAAAGAATCAAAAGAAAACTTTGATAAAGTATCAGTTAAAGAAGATAGTAACCAATTTAAAAATGTTAATGTTGAACTTATCCTGCAAGGTAAAGAAGATTCAGAAAAAATGGTTAAAGCTGGTGCAACTGACATTAATAAATTATCTAAACAAGAGCAAAAGAATTCTAAAGAAACAAGGAACAGGATTCTGAAAGTTGACAAAAACGATGATAGATCCAGGTTAGAAAATGTTAAAGGAATTGAAGCTGATGGAAAAATCACAAGTAAAAAATGTGACAGTAAAGAAAAAGAATTGAAGTCAAGAAATGAAGAACAAATTAAAGAAGATGTCACAAAAAAGGATAGAAAAAATAAAAAAAATTCTAATGACAAGTCACCGAAACACAACAAGGATACTAAATCTGCTGCTGATTTAGCTTTAAATGAAGTAACAACTTCTACTGTTCATTTGTGCAAGGAAATTAAAATTAACGAGAACAAATTGAAGGATGTTGAAAACATCACCAAAATCAAGGAAGAAAATCTGACTGCTCAAGAAAATATATCTTCTAATATCAAACAAAAACAGGTTGAAAGAAGTGAATCGAATGCTGAAAAGAAACATCAAAATAAAGTTATTGAAAATAAATCGTCATCTGATGTAAAATCCATAACCAGAAATGATATATTAGGCAACAAAGATGCAGAAAAATCAGCTTCATTATCTGATCCTGCAAAAAATTTGAAAAATCATATAGCTGCAGCATTTGAGCGCATACAAAGAAATGACAAAAAATTGTTGTCTGATAAGAAAATAGATAAAAATGAACATAAGAGAAACAGATCAAGTTCTTCCAATGATGAAAAAAATAAATATCACACCACGAATGCCATTAAAGATTTGAAAGATTCTCCTTACAGGGTGCACATCGTTCACAGATCGAAATCAGATAGAAGTTCAAGAAAAGATGAATCTAGCAAAGCTAAAGACAAGTCAGTTGATCGTAAGAACTCCAGTAGTCAGTCAAGAAATAGTAAATACGATAAGAGCCTGCAGCTTACAAAAAATTTGGAATATGCAGACATAAACAAGAACGATGTTTTGACAAAAGTTTCAACAGAGATTCCAACATCACCAGTTGATGCTTTAGGCACAGGGATTTCTAAATCGGATGAGACAACACAAATTGATAGCATGGCTGTCGATCACACTAATTTGAAGAAGATGACACCAACTACTAGAAGACGAAGCAGGGCTAGTGGCGATAGTAGAAGCAGTTCAACAGACACCTGCTATAGCGAGAAAATATCTAAAGAAGTTCGGAAAGATGAGTTATTGAAACAAGTTAGTGAAAAGTTATCTAAGAAGGAAGATAAAACTGATGAATCAAGCCGTAAATCATGTGATGACCTTGTTAAAAGTATTGATATGCAAACAAAACCAGATTCAAAGCCAGAAGTTGATGTAAGACTAAAATCTGATAAATCTCGTGTTAAGCAATCATCATCAACTAAAAATGTGAAGTCCGGTGAATCAATCAATAAACCGGATGAATCTTCTATTAAATCTGATTCTAAGTTAGCAGTTGATGCAAAACATAAAAGTGACAAAACTCGCACTAAACAAGCCAGTACAATAGATAAAGATAAGTGTGATAAAAATGCTTTGGATGTTTCTTTTAAGATGAGTAATCATATCCCTAGAAGTTCAGATAAATCATATTCTACTGAAGTGAAAAAGACTGATAAAAATATCATTAGCAAGAATTCTGGAGACAATCAAACAAAAAGAGCTTCCGAAAAGAACTCAGATAGTAAAAAAGACCTAAAAGAATCAGTAAGTAGCAAGACTTCAAGGGATACTAAAAGTAAATCAAATGCTGATAAAAATAAAACCAACTCAAATAGGCAGAGTGCTAATGAAAATTTGATGCATGTGGAGAGCAAAGTTGTTATAACTGAAATACGAAAAACAGAAAGTTCAGACCAATCAAATAAAAGAAGTACCGAACAGCCTAAATCTAGTATAGAAATAAGAACCAGTGAAAAAACCAGTGTTCGATCGAGATCGTCCAGAAATTCTACTGAATCTAGAAATAAAAGAACCTTAGAGGAGAATATAGTATCCAATGAGATTATGTGCAAGAAGCCCAAGCTGGACAACTCGAATGTAGGTACTTCAAATAAATGTAAGATTAAAATCATAAAAGGTTCCAAATCGCATGAGGCCTTTATTAATACCGGTGAATATAGTACAAATAAAACACAGTTAAACGAAGAAGCAAACAAGATCACTAGTTCCATTGATGAAGCAAATAATAAGGTGATTGAAAAAATAATAGGGCATGCCAAGCACCAAACTATCAGCGAAGATAAAACCACAGCCCCTGGTCCAGTGTCCTTCGTTCAAAATTTGGATGAGCAACCAAAACATGTGCAAAAATCAGAACTCAGCATACCGCAAGTCAATGAAATCACAAACTGCTTTTCTGCCGAACTATCGAACAATAACCAGACCGCTACCAGTGTTGTTGAAAGTGCAAATCATGTAATGAATAAGGATGCTTTAGACGAGGCAAAAATCATAGAAGATTGCTTAAATTTATTGACACAAGAATCAGATAAAGGCAATGCAGGATTAGAGTTAGAAAAGTTGGTTGATGAAAATACTAGTGTGGACTTTTCCAACACCATCGTTCAAGATAAATTAACTTTGGATGACTCTGATTGCATGCAGAAAGTTCCTTCAGGAGACAATTCAGCAGATAAGTCGATATTGGATAATGAAACTCTGTTTCCTAAAGAATTGGTTCATGAAGTTATGTCAGCTCTGAAAAATATTTCCAACATTTCTGAATCTGACAAAGACATCTTAGAAGGCATTCAAAATAGCCCAAGCATAAATCAAATGCCAGTGATACAGAAAGTTAATAAGAAGCGCAAGTCTACGGATTGTGATGCAGATATTGTGAGCACTCAAGGTAAGAAAGTAAAACTAAATGTGATGCCCGATGACAAAGGAAAGACTTTAACAGCGAGGATTGGTAAATCTGGCAGCACACTTAAACTTGTTCCTGTAGAACCTATTCCTAATTACCCATCGATTGCTGAGCCAGCGAAAGAAGTCAAGGATCAGGAATGTAAAATACAATCACAATTAGCAACGGTAGTGGATGCAATTATACAGCAGTCGAATAAAATACCAGGTTTGGAACGTCGCCGTGATAGCAACAAAACAACGATAGAAAATATAGAAGAAACGTATTCTGTAAAGAAGAGTAAAAAGAAGAGAAAACGGGAGAGAAAATCAGATGACAAATTCGATGTTATGGAAGACAATGCTGAGCATAACGTTGTGGAGAACGTGTTGCAGCACTCTAATTTTACAGACAGTTCAACAAACACAACAAGTTTCAAACAGTTTGGCTTTCTACTGAAATCGACGACAAGTCAAAAACCATAGATTCTGAAATAAGTGAAATGTTACCAAAAATTTTGAACGACGCTATAGAGGATATGTGCTCTAATTCTGAAGACTTTGGAAATATTGGCTGTCTGAACAATGACTCCGATAGATCATCTTCGCCACCACCTTTGCAGATTGAAGTCTCAGAAGAAAACTCTGCTAATCATTACGAAATGTGCCAAGGACAATATGATGATATTTCACCAACGCACGTGGCTTTTGATTCAGAGTCATCTGACACTAGGGATTTCGACAGCTTGAAAGTTATGCCTGATAGTTCAGACAAATCCGTATCCCCTGATGAAATCATTGATTCCACTGCAGATTTACTGAATATTCCAGATGAAGAAATGCTCAGAGCAGCGGAAATTGTTAGTTCGGTTGATATCGATCAGGAATTTCCTACGATGAAAAGTATTCCGCCTTTAGAAGATATTCTAGAACAACCAGTCGATTTGGATTCCATTCCTATACCTAAGCCATTAGAAGTTACCGTTCCTTCGCCTGCCTATAACGCACTTTGTCTTCTAGGAAGATCTCAGGAATCGACTTGCACAAATAAAAATGTCATGTTGTCGTCAAACAGTCCGCAAACAACTGGAAGACAATTGGACAACGTACCATGCTTGCCATCTTTCTTTGACAACAATCATATGATTAATTGTGAGAACATGGAAATAGTCGACAGCATTCTACAAAATGTGCCTATGCGGAATATACTTCCAGATCATGACATCCAAACTAGAAGATATCACCACCAATCTGAACAGATAATGAATATCACTTTTGTCAACACTTGTCAACACATTTATCTTATAAATTCAAATTCATCCACTACAGTGATGAAGCAGACAGTACAGCAGTCTTCAGTGCACAAATCCCAAAACTCTCATCCCTTTCCAATCACGAGAGGTTTGGATCCATCTAATTTCTGTAATAATGGACAAATGGGCTTTTACAATGCGGATTCGTTTGCTTTTCAACAAGATTTCTATGAAAATAGTACTGCAAATAACGTTATTATTAGGGAATTTAGTAACGAAGACTTCAATGACTGGAATAACATTCAACCAGATAACATGCACAGAATACTTCCTAAATATCAAAATCAAGCGGCAATTCAACAAACCAATACAACAACTACCACGCAATATACAACGCCTGGTAGAAATTACGATGATACCATTGTTTTAGATGAACTTTGCAATATACTTTTACCGAATGCTGATGTAACGAATTCTGCTACTGAAAGGATAAGTGAATCATCCCGAGGAAATGTGAAAATAAGTGAGGTAATAGAAAACCAACCATCTGCAAATGCAAGTGAAACACCTGAAAGAAGTAAACAGATTGTAAGAAAATCTTCAATAGATTCTACTAATATAAGTAAACATTTGAAAAGGAAGGTAGATACTGTTTCCACAAGTACTCACAGAAAGACTACAACCATACAATCTACAACTGCCTCTGTTGGACCATGCTGGGATCCTGCTGATGCCAAAACGCCTGATGAACTCATTCAGGAGTACAGGAATAAGTCCAAGAAAGCTTCAATTCGTTCAAGCAGACCACAAAAAATTTGTCCACCCAAAACGTGAGATAAAATATTTTTACGCTGTAAATAATTTGTTTGTGAAGTTTAGCACTTAAATTTTTATTTCTTGTTTGTTCCAAACTGTGACTTATAAATCGAGGAAGCAAAAGAGCAACTTTATTGGTCACAGTTTGGAAGAAACTTTTTTTGTTCTAGTTAAATGTAAAGAATGTTTGTATATAGAAGATATCTATAAAATATTGTCTTTCTATTTATTTATTATTAAAACAAAATGTTAGAATCGTAACGAAACTATTACGTAACTTCTTTGTGATGAATTCTATTGTTAAAAATATGGTTTTAAGGTGTAATATTTTATTTTTGTGATTATGCAATGACATCATTAATTAAAAAGGATTTTACAAATAGGTGGTCTCATGTTATAGATTAATATAGGACACATACAAATTATATAAATATGTATAAAAGTTATTTGATAACATTACACAAAGTCGTTTGTAAGGAATTTCTACTTGTAAGATATTTATTGTAAATACTAAATAATTTTTACTGATTAAGTTCTTAGGCTCTGTATAATTAATAATAAATCTAAAATAAATAATTATATACTTCATAGCATATGCGAGTTTATTTTACTGATCGCTTTATTAAAAAAGAGTGTGTGATCTGACCATAATTAATATTTTAGCGTGAAATTATAATTATACTATTTTACAGCATTAATTGATTTCAAGATACATATACACCTAAGTCTGTTTTTACACGGAGATTGGTTCCAGAAGAAGCCGTGTAAAAAAAAAAACGTGTAAAAAAAGACATTGATCTTATACAAATATGGGTGATTTGTCCTAGTCTCTAAAACCTATTAAAATTAGTGAAAAACAAGAATTTTCAAGAACAAGAATTCATGTTTATTTTAATAATAATTCCCCTAAATTAGTGCTATTCACATTTGCTTTGACCAGTAAAAATTGTTTGTACGCACTAAAGGAGAATTTACTTAAATCTTTAAGCTAGTGTTCGCAAACTATCGATACCATCGATGGTTTCAGACTTTTTTCTTTCATAAATACTTTTTTGTGATATGAACATTTTTCGCAAAAATTAAATTTGACAAAAAAATTTAAGTACATAAAATTTCAAATCGTGCTAAATAGAATAAAATCGTGTAAAAAAATTAAAAATATTCAATTTTTAAACCGTGTTATATCAAAACCGTGTACAAAAAGACCGTGTAAAAACAGACTTAGGTGTATATATTGTGGAGTTTCGAACAAGAATCCAAAAAGTAATTAAAAACAAAAAAAAGTTTTTTAATGAACTATTTTTTTATTTATTTACTGTCGACGTTTCGGAACTAGGTACGTTCCATCTTCAGGACATCTGTCAAGAATCTTAATCTTGATAAGATTTAAGCAAACAATATGTTTAAGAAAAGCAGAAGATGGTGGATTTTTTCAATATATAAAATGAATAAAATTGTGGAAAAAATAATGTACAGGAATATGACGAAACAATCAAAATGAAAATGATAAAAATAAATCAGTGGATTATATAACAAAACATTAGAAATGTTAAAAAATTAGAAAGTTTTAAGAAAAGGTTACTGAAAAAAACAGAAATAATTACCTGTATGATTGATCATACACTAACAATTTTTCACCAAAAAAGATTTTATCAAAAACTGTGATTTTATAAATTTCTTTTCAGACGAACAAACAAATTTTGTAATTCAAAATTTCTTTAAATTATGTTCTTTTGAGTTTGTTATGCAAGACAAAATGAATTATTGATGTTATGGGATGACCATTGGTAACAAACTTAATATATTTATTTTTCTTAATATATCAGGTATTTTTAAGAAGAAAACACTTGACTTAAAATTTGTGTATGTGTGCGTATTGATTTTATATCTCAGATTGATCTTAAATGGATGTCAATATTAATTATTTGTCAAAAAGCGTAAAAAATTTAAATAAGAATCATATGTAACATGTTGTGATCTGATGTAATGTTGAAACTCACTCAGCCAATATAGAATTCATTATTACTTACAAAATGATTTTCTTCTAACTATTTTTAATTCGATGAATAGACTGCAATTTTTTTCAAATACTATATGTTACAACGTAGAAAAAATATTCAAGAAATTGTTTATGCACGATATTCATTATAAATATTATATATTATTTTTATAATTACGATTAGAAACCATTGAGCTAGTGATATCCATCATTGTTAACATATAGACCTAGGTGTAAGTGGCATTTTACCTTAAGGCAAGTCCCGGTAGGTGTAAAAAATCAACTTTATCACTATTATAATTTTGAAAATAAAGTTTTAGCTTCCCACTATAAACTAATCCATGCGATTTTCATTTAAAATTGACCAAAAAACACTTATTTCTGTAATTGTATATTCATTAAATTTACCACATAACGTTACACGAATTTTTTGAGTAAAAAAATAAAACAAAAAAATTTTGCATAGTTTTTGTTCAATGCAAGCACTCCGAGAATATGAAACAACAAGTCAATTGTTAATAGGACGATTTTTTGCACTAAAAGCAACCATGTCCAATGTGTGGCCGGTGGCCCCATTACAATTTTTGTGCAAAAAAAACACACAAATTAACCCTTTCCACTGGCGCATTGCAAAATTTGTATGTATTTTGTCGCCGGAGCGGCGGCATCTGAGTGGAAAGGGTTAATACTTAAACTTTATTAATAGATACAAATAATTTTTATTACGTGGCCGAATTGCTAAGATATTTTCAAAATCAACGGAAATTGAACTAGGCTAAAAAGTGACATCGTGCCTTAAGAAAAATTGCTGAAACTTCCTGTACCTTAATGAAATTTTTGAGTAATATTAAATGTTTTCAAATAGATTATTATAAGTTTAGAACTTTAGCTAGAAACCGAATAATTTTTCTCATGGATAAGATTTTTCCATATTCAAAAAAAATAATTAAGATAAAAAAAAATGTCGCTCCAAAAGCAATCGTTTCGTCAACGCTAGCAGAAAGTTATTTAAATCATTCAAATCGGATGCTTAGTTTTCTCAAAAACTGCCATTTTTTGTACATTGAAGGCAGGTCTAGCGGTTTTGGAGATCTAGTGATAAAAGTAAAAAAATCCCATTTGGCGGTCAAAAATGATCATTAGACATATGCACATCAAATTATCAGTAATTTTATAGAGATTTTAACAATAAGTATAAATTTTGTTTACATTCCTATGGGTTCCGTACCAATGTTTATCAGATAGACGGCAACGCGGCGCTTACGCGCTTGGATATTTCGTCTCTATGCAGTACGATTGCTTTAAAAAAGTTCAGAATTTCCAAAATATAAAAAACATTTTTTTTAAAAAGTCCTTGTTTTTCTAATAAAGTAAATTACTGGCAAAAATTTATAGTTTTTCAAAAATCTAATTTTTTCAAAGTAAATTTTTAATGTTAATCTTT